TCTTTTGTAATCTTTCATTTGTGAATTATAAGATTCTCATATATTTAGGAGGATATTAAAGGTCAAAATATATATTACCCAATAATAACTTGACAATCTAATATAAAATACATAACATTTTGTTTTGTCTATTTTGAAGTTATTACATGTCGATTGATTAACCATATAGTTGACACATTTTTCACCCCAATCACACTTTTGTTTAATATCTCTTTTAACCCAATTTTTGCATAGCATTATCTTCCCAATAGTGTTTGTATATATCATTGACAGTTTTCGCAATGCAAGATAGTTTGCGACAAGTTTATCAAACTCATCTTTGAGAAATAATTAGAAAAAAATCATAATCATGTAATTAACATTTTTAAATGATGTAAACTTAGATTTACTAAAACTGAATAGTTTTCAACACAAATGTGTAAATGTAAATTGAGTCATGATATTCTTTGCTTGAGAGTGTGTTTATGTGTTTTACGATTAGACTGTGGAATCTTAACTTTTTTCTTAAAAAAAAATTAAATTTGACATATATTTGTTTAGTTTTGTGCATATTAAACACTTTATAAACTGATTTTAAGTTTAATATAATTTTGTTTGTGAATTAGATAAATATTTTATTTTGGGGTTGAAAGACTTCCCAAAAAATTTTATAATATATAATGCATTAGAAGACTTATCGAAAGACTTAACAACATAGTTTACCATTTCCTGCTTAATTTTTAAAAGAAGTTAAGTTTTCCGTTAAGGCTTCCAATAAATCTTCCAGAAAGCCTTTAAAAGTTTTCTCAAAGTCTTCTCATGTATTAGATTTTAAAAAATAATTTAAATTTTTTATAAAATATTTTGATAGGCAAAAAATCTTAATCATCTAATTATAGAGATTTATATGTGATATAAATTTAGATTTCATAAAATTGATTTTTTTTAATATAGATGAGTGAATGTAGATATATTCTTTGGTTGAGAGTTTGGTAACATATGTTATAGTATTGTTTGTGTTGTTAGGGTTAGATTATGGAATTTAAACTTTTTAACAAATAAAATAAAGAAATTTGACCTATATGTGTTTAGTTTTGTATATTCTAAACACGTAATAAGGTGATTTTAAGTTTAAATCAGGGTACCAGGTTGAAAGGGTATATCCGGATAGAGTGAAATCTGCAATCGAAATTGGCCCCACGGTTAACTTGTTGAAGGCTCATGCTTGGAAACTTCGTTTCTCTAAAAAAATGAAGCACTTTATCTGGCAGATTTTAACGGGTTGTATTCCGGTGATGAAAAATCTACGGTGCAGAGGTATCCCAGGAGAAATCCAATGTTTGCGCTGCGGAGCTGCTGAGGAGTCAGTTAACCATGTCTTTTTTGAATGTCCCCCAGCCATTCAGGTTTGGGCACTCTCTAAGATCCCTTCCAGATCAGGACTCTTCCCGACTAATGCATTATTTACAAATATTGACTATTTATATTGGAGGATCAGACCGGCAATGGAGGATCGTCAGTATGTTTGGATTTTATGGTATCTTTGGAAAGTAAGGAATAATAAAGTTTTTAGTAATATTGATGTAGACCCTAAGGACACGCTGACGCTGGCGGAGACGAAATCGCTTTTATGGGCGGAAGCACAAACTCAACTAGGGCACCGAGCTCCTGTTGGGCAAGTGTTGGATGAGTTCAGGTTACCACAGCTATCGGGTCGTTGGTGCTTTACTGATGGATCGTGGAAGGCACATGAAACTTTCTCGGGACAGGGGTGGTATAGTACGCTTCCGGGGTTCCAGGGTTTAATAGGGGCAAGGAATACGAGAGCGTCTCTTTCGGCCTTGCATTCGGAAATAGAAGCATTCATTTGGGCGATGGAAAGTATGAGGAATCTGCGCCAAACGCACGTCACTTTTGCGACGGATTGTATTCAACTGGTAAGGATGGTTTCTGCACCAGAGGAATGGCCGGAGTTTGCAAATTATCTCGAAGACATCAGGATTCTAAAGGAGAGCTTCATACATATGGATATTATCCATATTCCCAGAACTCAAAATACAAAGGCGGACAGACTAGCACAGAGTGCCATAAAGCAATCGTCGTATGTAGTTCATGTGGATGTGGAAGAACCAGTTTGGTTAGCAGAGTCTATTTAGAGTCTGTATATGTTGATGACAAAAAAAAAAAAGAAGTGGTTGTTGTTTAGTTAGTAATTTCTGTTTAGGGTTTCAAAAAATTCTTGGTTGGAAAGTCTTCTAACAAATAATATAGTAGAAGATTTCTGGGGAAATATTTTTGGCATATAGAAAATTTAGGGGTTAGAAGACTTTCAGAGAAGTCTTCTTGTGAATTTTATGTCAGAAGATTTTCTGGGAAGTTTTCCAAACCGAACCAAACTTTAATTGTATCTTCAATTTGACAATAACCGAAAATAATTACATTAGTTAGTTTAATGAAGTATTTGTTGCTTTTTTAGTTAGTTACTTATTTTCAGATTTTAGATGATTATTGGAAAGTTTTCTAACAAATAATGCTTCAGAAAACTTCAATAAGTCTTCTGGACGAATAGTATATTTAGGGTCTAGTAGATTTTTTAAAAGAATTTCATGTGAGTCTTCTATTAGAAGATTTACATGAAAGTCTTCTGTATCAAAAATATTTTATTTAATTAGAATTTGTGTCTCTCTATATAAAGAATTTATACTTTCTTTTTCTTTCTCTCAAATAGAGGTGACAAAAATGTAATGTTTCTCACTATAAAACTCTCCACCCTCTCTCTAAATTATTTGAATTTGATAACACAAAATCTTATATCAATTTTTCATTTGTTTCTTAAGTGTTTCTTACTAGTTTATTTTGTTTCTGTAGGTTATTCATTACATAGTTTTCAACTTTCAATCATTTAAAGGTTGATCTATAAATTTTGAATATGTATATTTGCGTGTTTTATATGTTAGATTATAATAAATTATAAATTCAACATAATGTGATTATTTTATTTATTATTTAAGAATAAAATATATTTTTTCTGTTTTGATGTCGTTTAAACTTTTTTAGATATGTAGTTTTTCTTTCGGATCTAAGTCAGGATTTTGAATACTTCTCAGAAAACGTCTCGGAAGACTTCTAGGAAAGTTTTCCGAACTAAAAATATCTAGCCTAAGTGATCTCAAGCTCCATGTGTAATAATTTTGTTTATGGTTTGTTTTATGATTTCTATGTTTACTCTTTTAGTTGTGAATTATTTTGTAAATTTGAAGAGATGTTAATGAAAATAATATGTTAATTATTTTCATGTCTACAATATATATTATTTTTTAAAAACTACTTGAAATTTTTAATACAACATAGCAAGAAACATTTTTAACAAAAACTAAAACTGAGGTATAAGACTTCTCAAGAAAAGTTAGTCAAATTCACAAAAGATTCAACAAAACATAAGTCCCGCTAGAAGACTTTTCCGAAGACTTCACTAGAAGTCTTATTTAAACACTATCAATAATAGAACGCCGCTTAAGAATTTTTTTTTAAATTATAATAAGAAAACATGTTAAGTATTTTCTAGACGTCTTCTCTCGTAAGACTTCATGGAAGACTTAACGAAAATTAAGAGAGAAATGAAATTTAAGCGGGAGATTTAAGCAGAAAATGAAAATTTTAGTGGAAACCTTAAATTTTAAGTAAAAATTGAAATTTTAAATCTCATGAAAGTTAAAACTATATCGTATGATCTAATAACACAAACTAAACCACATGACTTGTCATTTTTGAAGTTACTAAACACTTTGGAAAGTTAAAAATGAAATGATTTAACACTATTGAAAATACAAATTTTACAAAAACGAACTTAGAAGACTTCTACATAGGTATCATGAGAGAAGAATCCTTAAGTCTTCTATGAGAAGACTTATTTAATCTTCTCTCATTAACTAGAAAAAATAATAAACATGAATGCTTGTGACCTCATAAATTATAACCAATGGAGTTATGAATTTCATCCAGGATCCCCAATATTGACTAATATACACGAACTAACAAAAAATATTGTTTTTTTTAGTTTTTGAGAAAATGAAATTTTATTAAAAATTGACGTAGAAGACTTTTATGGAAGTCTTCTTGAAGTAGACTTCCATGGAAGTATTTTATTTAGGTTAGTTTTATTCTACAACCGACTTCTCTGGAAGTTTTCTTTTGTAAATATTGACTTACTTTTTTATTTCAAAATTCTCAAAAATACTAGAGAGAAGTCTTCTCGGATAAATATGTTAGTTTTGCAATTGGTCAAAATAAGTCAGAAATATGAATTTTTACGGAAGTATTCCCTGAAAATCGATTTGACGGAAGACATTCAAGGAAATCTTCTTTAATAACTAAATGTTTGACCAGGATCCTGAAATAAAAATCGAGAAGGCTTCCAAGAAAGTCTTATGGCGGAAGACTTTCCTGTAAATCTTCTAATTGAAATTAAATGTTTTTGTTTTAATTGTCAATTACAAACTAACCTACGCAGACTTCCAGTAACAGTGAACATACTTCATGTAATTGTTGAAAAGACTTCCCAAGAAGTCTTTCGTCCGAAGACTTCCGTGGAAATCTTCTATAGAAAGTAAAATTTTTGACACAATTCAGTCAATTTCAAAGCTAACATGTTTCTCTGAGAAAACTTTCGGGGAAGTCTACTCGCTTTTTTGTTAACAAAGAAAAATTGTAAGACATCTACGGAAGTCTTCTCTAAAAATGACACAAAAAGTATATTGCAAAACTAACCCATGCATTGACCCGGAAACTTCCGTAGAAGTCTTCTTGGTGGAGAAGACTTCCATAAAAGTC